TCATGGCAAAGGAGGCCCTTGTTCATCAAGATAAATAGCCACACGTTCCATTTCCTCCTCTGATGCCTGAGTCTCCTCCTCCTTCTGTTGTTCCACATGAATATAAACCAGTTGTGTCTTGGACAGCTACTTGCAAGCTTTTAAGGCTTCAGCACTACATACTATGAGGTAGAACAGAAGCACTCAACAATTAACTGGGATCTCCCATGAAGCCATGACCCCGAAGCTCCAAACCAAGAAACAAAATCCCATGAAGAGTCTTGGCTGTCCATCAGCAGCCTCAGCAGCTACTCTTCTTTGAGTCATCATTGTATGTCTCCTGCACAGCTCTGGTCACTTCAACTTCTTACAGTTGCACAGGTTGTGCAACCCTACCCTTCATCAACATGATTTCTCCATCACCATCAAAAGATACTCAGTACTCCATAAGCAATAACTTCCTCTTGCCATCTCTCTCCTGCCCCCGGTAACCACTAATAAACTTTCTTCTCGACACATATGTTCTGTTCTAGAATATATATATACGTAAAGTCCGAGTCTTTGTCCTTTTCTGACTAACTTATTTCACTCAGCATGTCATTAAGCTCAAATCATATAAAATTATTTATTTGGCTTCTGGCTCTCTATGGGGCAAAGGATCCAAATAGAATATCTGTGTATAACCTTGAAATTAAAACTTGAAGTCACAGCATGAAAGAAAAGTTACAAGCTGATTTCTCTCATGAACATAACAACAAAACATAACAAAAAAATATTAAGAAACCAAACCTAGCAATATATTAAAAAAAGATAAACAGTCACCATAAGCTATGTTTATTTTAGGAACGCAATATTGATTTAACATTTGAAAAATTAATCAATATAATTCTCCACAGTGGCATAGTCAAGGATAAAAGTCATATATTACTCTCCGTAGATGCATTAAAAACATTTCAAAGTTCAATACTTACACATGTTAAAAACTAGGAATAAACAGTAAGACATTGAATGTTTTCTCTCTCACAGAATGCAAAAAGAAAAGTATGTCTTTATTACCACTTCTATTCAACATTTAACTATAGGTTCTAACCAGTTCAATTAAGCAGTAAAGAAGATATAAAACAAGGTATTCTATGGATATGACATAAGCAAGTATGAGGGAAGAAAAGCAGTAGTGCTACAAAATCATAGAAATTTAATAAACAAAAATATCAAAATGTGAAGCTACATCTCCTCCACCTAGGTCTATGCATTTCTAAGATGGTGTTTCTAGCTCTCTAACCCTTTCTGGAAGAACGCTGCACTCGGATTTACACTAGGTCAAAACAGCAATTTTGGCATCCTTGAGGGGCTTTTGGGGAACAAAAAGAAGCCTGAAAGACCAAGATGGAGGCAGTAGCATGGACAGTGTAAGAGTTTCCCAATGAAATTCTTGTAGGACAACTCTTTTTACGCTTGAAGAATGCATCATGAATACATAATAAATACCAATAAAAAAGTTCCAAAACAAGACACCCACATTATGACGATTCCATTAGAAAACATGGCTGACTAATAAATATATGTGACTTCTCACGCATGGAGTTATGATGACACACAGATTATCAATAGTGAAAATGGTTTTTTTCAGATTTTATTATGAATATTGTTGTTAAATGCTGTAGAGTTGGTTCTGACCCATAGTGACCCTGTATAGGGTTTCCAAGGAGTGGCTGGTGAGCTTGAACCACTGACCTTGCAGTTCAAACCAACTTTGCAGTCCAGAACATTACTCCACAACACCATGAGAAAAGTATGTTCTAAAAGTTTCTTTTTAAGGCACCATGAGATCAGTAATTTAAAAGATTCTTATGTGGCACTCCTGACCCATTCACAGGCTCCTGAAGCCATGTAAGCGGTGTCCCTACCTCTAAAAGCCACTAGTCAGCAGATTGAAACCCATCAGTCGTGGCTGAGTGATGGACACATTCCTTCATTCACATACCTATTGTGTATCTACTGTGTCTCACCCACCCAGGACTGTGCTAGGTGCCAGAGCTTCATGATCCATAGAATGACTCTCTATAAAGGGACTCAGGTGTTGAGTACAGCTGCTTCTGAATGAAGTGTGAAGAAAGCAATGGCAATTCCTAGCTATACTAAGAAAAGGGAAATGGCAATTCAGGCAGAAAGGCACAGGAGAAAAGGCAGAATGACTCACTGTGTCAATTGTGAGTAGCTCAGCTTCAATAAAGCAAAGCAAAGGGAGTGAAATGCAATAAACCAGTCGAGTAGGCTGGGGCCAGACCCCGAGGAGCCTTAGATGCTGCCAAGAGCTGGAAGAATGAGGGGAAGAGCACAGTCTATTTTTGATCTTACTGGAGCTCAGTCACTTTCTCTATAAAATGAAGGGATTGGAATGGATGAATTCTTACATTTCTTCTAACTTCAACATTTATTACCTCTGAGGATCAGGGATGGATCATGACTCTTCTAAGAGCTTTCTGGTAATAATGATTGGAAAGGATTTCATTATCAAGAAATATCTGGGCTCAGGAATTCTGGGCTACAGTGTGTCATAGTCATTGGTTTGGTTTAGGATGAACACGGTGATTCCTGGTATAGGAAAAAGCAGCTGCCAAAGACATAACCTCTTCACTCACAGAATTCAGACTAATGTTGAGGTGAGAAAAGTGCAGGTAGCCAAGATTTGAACTTTAATAAGTTGTTGGTGCTTCAATTAATAAATATCTCACTGACCTCACAGTCACCTCACAATGCATTCCTCAGATACACTAGGCTTCCATTCTCCTAATAATTCAGCTATGAAACTATGAATGTCAATAGGAGAGTAAACCTCTCCTTCTTTGGTGACTGCAGTTAATGGTTTAAAACCTGACATTTCACACACTGGGTTGTTAGCTTACCTCCATCACTCACCACTAATGGCTATGTGGCTCTGGGCTGGAGATTTACCTCTTTAAGCCTCAGTTTCCTCACTATAAAACAGGAATAATAATAGTACCAACATTATAGTGTTGTTGTGATACTTAAATGAAATTACCTGTATCAAGTAGGCTTATGTTGGTATTGGGGTTAAAAGACTAAATTTGTAAGGGACATGGGCAATGTGCTGGGGGAAAAAAGGACACAGTGCTATAAGAGCATATAAAAAGGAGGATTTGGTCCAGTAAGAAGGGTCAGTGCAGTCTTCTGGAAGAACTAACTCCTGGGCTGACATCTGAAGGTGAGTAGGTGGAAACAGATGACAAAAGACAAGAAGAACACTTGGGTAAAGAGGAGAGCTTGGCCAAAGGCCCTGTGATGGGCAGAAGCTTGACCTATAAGAGCTATAAAGTCTATAGGAGTGAAGCAGAGAGTAAGAGAGAATGGAGTACAGCTGTGTACCAAAAGGTGTATCAAACCAAGAGACCAGATGACCTTTTATCAAGAGTAATGAAGAGTCCTGGTATGGCGCTGTGGGATAATGTGCTAGACCGCAAGGTCAGTTTGAACCACAAGGTCAGCGGTTCAAATTCACCAGCTGCTCAGAAACCCTATACAGGGTCACTATGAGTCAAAACTGACTCAACAGCACTTAAAACAACAAATAAACTTAAAAGGAATAAGAGGCCAATGCTTTTTTTTTTTTTTTTTAAAGCAAAAGGATGGTAACAGGGATCAGATTTTGCATTTTGAAAAAATGGCTCTAGTTGCAGTATGAGACTAGAAAGAAACGAGAAGAAATGAGAACAGACAAATCAAGAAGACATTGTCTAATTAAAACAAGACTGTATCATGGATCAGGGTGATGAGCGAAGTGGAAATAAACTGATGGGTTCAGAAAATACCTGAATAGTATAATCCAAATGACAGTTCATGGATTAGACAGAAAAGCAACAGAAAGCAGGATGTCAGGAATGAAGCCTTGTTTCTCTGCTTAAGCAATTGACTTAAAAGAAACACTGAAAAAGGACCATGTCTTTTCTTACTTTACAACTTTAGGGGGAGGATAAATTTAGGGAGAATAATGTTTGGCACTGGGAAGATAAGGATTTCCATATGACGTCTTCTGCGATTCTCTATAAAGAAAGAGAAGCATTTTCAGCTGGGGGTGGAGCCATTGAAAGGAGATGTTGTTGTTGTTAAGTGCCGTCGAGTTGGTTCCGACCCAGAGCGACCCTGTACAGGGTTTCCGAGGGTGTAAATCTTTACAGGAGAAGAAAGCCTCATCTTTCTCCCGCAGAGCGGCTGGTAGTTTCGAACCGCTGACCTTAAGGTTCGCAGCCTGATTCGCAACCACTACGCTAAGGTTTGAAATAATCATCATAAAGAATGGGGCAAAGGATTGGCCACAGAAATGGAGTATAATTACCAAGCAGTTTTGAGGGCCACTTGAGGTGTGTGCAAATGAAGGTATAGTGAAATCAGTCCAGCTGACTTGGTGAGTTACAGCTCACTCCCTGTACAGAGGATTGATGAAACTGTAATCTTCTTCAACCTGGTTCCTTTCCTCCTTACTGACCAGTGGGGTCTAGAAAAGGTTCCCCAACACCAACATTCTCATTCCCTTGACTGATGCCTAGGTGGAATTAGAGAGTGATGTCCATTTATCTTACAGTAAGCCACTCCTCAGAAACCCTATACAGGGTCACTAGAAGTTGGAACCGACTCAATGGCACTTAACAACAACAACAAGCTGGTCTCATGACCAATAAATCAGGAAGGGATTAAGTTTTCTAAAGATTCTGAGTCAGTACTTATGGCCAATCTAGCAATTCCCAATAAGAACAAGTTACCTTTAGAGAAACAACTTCTGATAAGTAACTACAGTCATTACACCAGGATCCCATTTCTAAGCAGAAATATGTAAAAGAAAAGAAAAAAACAAAGTAGCAAGTGGGGAATCTTTACCATGATTATGTGTGAATTATTAATTTCTTAAATCAGCATTAAAAACTCTTTTGTTTGAAAATCAATTATACAGAATTATAATTTCTCAGGTCAAATTGCATACTTATTTCTTGATTATAAAAACTCACTTATGTAATGCTTCCCAGGCTTCCTCCTCTTCTAGGAGATCTCTTATGATGTCTGAACTGGAACTAAAAGGAAATGTACATCAGTATTGCCAGACAAAAGACTGGGTGGTTCAATTACGTATAATCCTAGAAAATGCAAACTCGAGTGACAGAAAGCGCATCAGGAGACCAGTAGTGCCCACAGCAGAAGGAGGAACAGAATGAGCAAGGAGGGCTCAATCACACAGGACACTTGGGCTACGGTCACTGAGGTTAAAGATTCACAGCTATAAACCTTATATCAAGACTCATCAAATTACGCACCTTAAATACATGCAGTTTAGTATACAGTAATTGCATTTCAATAAAGCTATGAAAATATAAAATTTGCAATAAATCAATACAACTTATATAAACCCCTCAATATAAAATCTTGATTCAAACAGAACAGTCACGAATCTCATCATGCCTATGACATAATTCCTGTGGCAACCATATATCAGACTGTTTTTAAGAAAACCATGAGTAATGAGATTCACAAATAATGCCAAGTTCCTAGCCCCCTTTAAGCAAAGTAACACAAAATTGAGTTAATTTGAGCTATTGGAGTCCTAGTGTGGTGCTATAGGATACACATTTGACTGCTAACTACTTATTTACAGTGTTGATATGAGTCGGAACCGACTTGACAGCACTTAACAGCAACATGCTAGTAATAGAGCTATGTGGCAAGCACTGGACTACTAATTACAAGGCTGGAAGTTCAAACCCACTAGCCACTCTGCAAGAGAAAGATGAAATTTTCTGCTCCTGTAAAGATTTACAGTCTCAGAAACTCCAAATAGGGTTGCTATGAATCAGAATCGACTAGCAGTGGGTTTGGTTTTTTAAATAATGGAATCAAAGAGCCCTGGTGGTACAGTGGGCTAAGTAAGGAGCTACTAACCACAAGGTCTATCTATGGTTCAAATCCACCAGTTTCTCCATCAGAAAAAGATGAAGCTCTGTTTCCATAATAGTAGTACATAGATTCCTTTTTCCTTTTTACCATGCATTTGGTGAAGGTTTATAGAACAGATCAGTCAGTTTTCCATGCCACAATTCATACACATTGTGTTTCATCTCACTGATTGGAAGCCCCACAATGAAACACTCTTATGCCACATCCTTCCTGTTTCCACATTTCCAGTCCTCCTTTACAAACCCTTCTGAATTTTTTCCTTGGGTAATTGCTGCCCTTTGGATCTCAAGTGGTTGATTATTCTAAAGTCCATGAAGCACTCAGTGTTATTGATCCCACTATAGACTTGTTTATTGTTTGACTGAAAATTGGGAGGGGAGTCTGAATTTGTTTCCTGACTAGTAGTTCTACCAATCTTTCATTCTAACAGTAAGCCAGATCTTTTTTCTTTTTTTTTAAATATGATTTTGGGTTATGGTCCACATTTCTTTCCTACTCTATCCAGGACCTTCTAATGTAATCCCACTTGGAGCACTTGGTAGTGCCAGCTGGGCACAGTTCTTTAGGTTTTAGGGTCATGGAGACCGATGTTCATGTGGTCCATAAGTCAAGTGGATGAATTCTTTCCATGGAACTTGGATTTTGATCAATCTTCCTTTCTCCAAGCAGGGAGAAACCAATATTTGCATCTTAGATGGCTGCTCATGACCCCAGTTGCTAAACACCAAAGAAGGGTGTATAACATTGTCTTTGTGGACTACGTTAAGCCAATTGACCATGATGTCCTGTTAAACTATGGTCCTGAATTCCCAGGTCCAGTGACCCATTCCCTCAAGGTGTTTGTAATTTCTAAGAAGTTTCCATAACTTGGCCCTCTGTATACTCCACCACATTCATGGATATATTTATTGTTTTTGCTGTTGTTTTTCTGTAGGTGCTGTTGAGTCAGTTCAGACTCATAGTGACCCTATGTATGACACAATGAAACACTGCCAGGTCCCGCATTAGCCTCACAATTGTTCTTAGGCTTGAGTCCATTGCTGTTGCTACTCTGTCAATCCATCTCATTGGGACTTCTTTTCCACTGACCCCTCTACTTTACCAAGCATTATGTCCTTCTCCAGGGACTGGTTTCTTCTGATAACATGTATTAAGCATGAGAGACAAAGTCTTATCATCCTGGTTTCTAAGGAGCATTCTAGTTGTACTTCTTCCAAAAGAGATGTTTTGTTTTTCTGGCAGTCCATAGTACTGTTAATAGCTTTCTCCAAAACCATGGATTGATTCTTGTATGGTCTTCCTTATTCACTGACCAACTTTCACATACATATAAGAAAATACCATGACTTGAGTCAGTCGCACCTTAGTCCTCAAACTGGTATTTTCATTCTTTAACATGAGGTATTTTGCAGTAGAGTTGATTTCTTGATAGTTGTTTCCATGAGTGTTGCTTGTGGACCTAAGCAAAATGAAGTTATTGACAACGTCGATCTTTTCTCCATTTATCATATTATTTATTGGTCCAGTTGTGAGGATTTTGTTTCCTTTACATTGAGGTGTACTCCATATTGAAGGCTATAGTCTTTGATCTTGATCAGTAAGTATTTTAAGTCTCTTTGCTTTCAGCAAAGTTGTATCATCTGCATATTGCAAGCTGTTAGTGAGTCTTCCACCAATCCTGATGCCACGTTTTTCTTCACATAATCCAGCTTCTCGGATTATTTGTTCAGCATACAAATTGAATAAGTATGGTGAAAGAACACAACCCTGGCTCACACTTTTCTTCATTTTTAACCATTCAGTATCCCCTTGTTCTGTTCTTTGGTCTATGTACAGGTTCTTTATGAGTCTAATTAAGTGTTCTGGAACATCCATTCTTCCCAATGTTATCCATAGTTTGTTATGATACACACAGTCAAAAGCCTTTCAACAGTCAACAGAGCACAAGTAAACATGTTTCTGGTATTTTCTAATTTCAGCCAAGATCCATCTGATGGCAGCAATAAGATCTCTTCTGAATCCGGTTTTACTTTCTAGCAATTAGTTCCTTGTAGATGCACTGTTGCAACCATTGTTTGAAATATCTTCATGAAAATTTTACTTGAATGTGACACTGATATTGTTTGATGACTCTACATTACTTTGTGTTACCTCTCTTTGGAATGGGCACAAAAATGGATCTCTTCAAATCACGTGGCTACACAGTTGTGACTTTCAAATTTCTTGGCATAGATGAGTGATCACCTCCAGTGCTGCATCAGTTTGTTGAAAGATTTCAATTTGTATTCCATCAATTCCTGAAGACTTGTTTTTCGCCAATGCCTTCAGTGCAGCTTGGACTTCTTCCTTCAATATCATCAGTTATTGATCACATGCTACCTCTAGAAATGGCTGAACATCTAACTCTTTTGGTATAGTGACTCTGTAAGCCTTCAATTATTATTTTTTCTCCCCAGGGTCATTCAATATTTCACCTATAGAATGCTTCAATATTGCAGCCTGACACTTGAATTTTTCTCCAATTCTTTCCGCTTGAGAAATACTAGCCATGTTTTTTCCTTTTGTTTTCTATCTCTCGGTCTTTGCACATTTCATTATAATATGTGACCTTGTTGTCTCGTGCTGTCATTTGAAATTTTCTGTTCAGCTCCTCTATGTCCTCATTTCCTCCATTTACTTTAGCATCTCTATGCTGGAGAACAAGTTTCAGAGTCTCTTCTGACATCCATTTTGATCGTTCCTTTCTTTCCTGTCTTCTTAATGATCTTTTGCTTTCTTCCTGCATAATGTTCTTGATGTCATTCCACAGCATTCTAGTCTTGGGTTGTAAATGTCTAATGCATCAAATCTCTTCTTGAAAATTATTCAAGGTCGTATTTTGGCCCTTGTGGACTTGTTTAATTTCCTTCAGCTTCAGCCGAACTTGCATATGAACAATTTATGGTCTATTCCACAGTCTGCCCTATTTTTGTTTTGGCTAATAAGGAGCTTTTCTAACATCTCTTCCCACAAATGCCATCAATTTGGTTCCTGTGCATCCCACCTGGTGAGGTCCATGTAGTTGCCTTTTAAGTTGTTTAAAAAAAGGTATTTGCAATGAGTAAGTCATTGGTCTTACAAAATTCTATCATGTGATCTCCAGCAGAATTTTTATCACCAAGGCCATATCATCCAACTACTGAACCTTCCTCTTTGTTTCCAACTTTCACATTCCAATCACCAGTCACTATCATTGCATTTTGATTGATTGCATGTTAGATCAATTTTAGACTGAAGAAGTTGGTAGAATTCTTCAGGTTCATCATCACTGGGTTTAGTGGATGGTGCATACATTTGAACAATACATTTGTAGGCGTATGGGTATCATCCAATCACAGACAGTACTGTACGTTAAGATAGATCTTGAAATGTTCTTTTTGATGATGGATGCAATGCTATTACTCTTCAATTTTACGTTCCTGGCATAGTAAACCAGATGACTGTCAGATTCAAAATAGCAAATACCAATCCATTTCAGTTCATTAATGCCCAGAATATCAATCTTTATGTGGTCTATTTAATTTTTGACAACTCCCAATATTCTTAGCTTTGTGCATTCCAGGTTCTGATTATTAATGAACGTTTGAGCTGTTTTTCCTTATTTTGAGTTATGCTGCATCAGCAAATGAAGGCCTTTAAAGTTTTGCTCCATTCATGGCAGTATGGTCTATACTCTACTTTGAGGAGGCAGCTCTTCCCCCAATCATATTTTCAGCGCCTCCAACTTGAGGGGCTCATCTTCTGGCAATGTATCTGACAATGTTCCACTGCCATTCATAAGGTTTGTAGTAGCTAAACATTCAAAAGTAATCTGCCTCTCCTTATTTCTATTCTGGAAGCTCCACTGAAGCCTGTTCACCATGGGTACCCCTGCTGGTACTTAAAATATCAGTGGCATAGCTTCCAACATCACAGTACCATAAGCCACCGCAGTATAACAAACTGACAGATGAGTGGGGATGATATATTTGCAGCAAAGGTAAATAGCCATGGATCTCAGAGGTAACCTTTAATTTGTCTATAGGCAAGTCTTGATGGGCATGTGCTTCTGCAACTGCACTGCAGTAATTCCTTCAGCTACCTG